GAGGTAAGGCACCCGCCGGAAAAGGGGAAAAAAATGGCGGACAGCCTTGCTTGGCGACCCCCGTGAAATGATCGATCGACCCCAAATGGGGGTCGCGACCCATAGGTTGAGAACTGCTGCTATAGTAGCACTGAATCCATTCTTCCTGGAGGTAACTGATAACAAAAGCATTCTGCATTCTGGGGAGAGTTACAGAAGTTGGCATCAAGTTCAGTCCCCAGCTTAGTGGCCTTAGGACCTTCTGCACTTGAGATAATTTTTTTTTGCACCTGTTATTTTACGGGGGAGGAGAAACCGAGACCCTTCCTGGGAAAAGCAAATCTTGTAGCACATGAAATCTGCATTAGAGCACCTAATTTGGATTTTCTTTATTTCATATCAGGTAAAATATGTTCTTGGTGAGAGAAGCAGCCGTGCCCTGTGTGTTTTCAAATGAAACCCCTTTTCCTGCCTTCAGTTTTTACAGTTTTAAACTGTGGTTTACAACATAGCATGCAATATATAATTGTGGCCTTTGTTAACTTTATAATGAAGTTAACCTTCAAGTGCAGGGGAAGAAATGAAATGGATGAGTGCCATTCAGGATGGCCTTTGAGACTGTAACAGGAAGAAGCAGTAAGAGAATGAGCAAATTCGTGGGCAAAGACATTAAAATTGCACACAATTAGATGGTCTAATCATAAATGGAATAGTGCTGTGAAATTGGCATTTTGTGCTCAAGTGCTTCCCGTGCTGGGTTTTCTGTGTTCCCTTTTTTAATTCATTCAGTAAATTGTTGTTTCTGCCTCTTGTGTTTTTCCAGCAAGGAAGAGTTTCTATATCTATGCAGGAATTCTTGCTGTGCTCAATTTAGTGCAAGGTATTGGCAGTGCTCTGCTCTGTGCAGGCATCATCGAAGGCTTGTGGTATGTATTCTGCAGTCTGATAGAGCCATAGAACCATCAAATGACTTTTGGGTGGAGACAAACACTTTTCCATTTTCATCAAAGATTAGCTTTTTCAGCACGGACTCTGAAGTTACTGAGGAACAGCTCTTTTGCCATCCCCGTGGTGCCCTCAGGAGTGGCCCCATGCATTCTGCCCTGCGCCCTTTCCTCCCTTTGTTCCATAATAGAGAGTAGGCTGATTCCTTAATCTCAAGTCCTTGCCTCTGTCATTCTCTTATCTTTGTAAAGGTCAGTGGGAGGAATTCAAGATGTTTGGTTCCTGTTGCTTTGAGCACTGCTTTGTTTAAGTAGGCTGAACCAAACAGTGAGTCAAAGATCTCTCCCTTTATTTCACACGCAAGGAGAATGTTCTTTGGAGCCTGGAGTAATTCATCTGCTGGCCTGCTACTTTCTTGTAGTTCTAGTTGCCATGGCAAATACAGTAATTTTTCATCTTCGTCCTGGGAGCATGTGAGAATCTTCTTGTGGGCTTCTTAGGCCAGCAGCTCCTCCTTCCCTAGTTGAAACTGAGTGTCATCGGAGCTGGGACGGTATGGACAGTCAATTTGATCTGGACATTTTGTGTGTATGGCCTTAGGCCAACCTCCCAAACATTTAGCCAGTGCAAGTAACAAGGGGGAGACCAGGTTAGGCCACTGAGACAGGTCTGATCCACTGAAGAGGAAAAAGAAGAGCAAAAAGTAGGACTCCCACAGAAGACCCTCTTTTTCCCTGTAAAAGAGCTATTTACGCTTTTTTTCCCTATAAAAGAATGATTTACTGTTCTTCCTCATGGATTTGGAACTGCACTAACAAGTACCCTAGGAGCACTGGCTCATTTCTTATTAGAAGTCTATTTAGCTGACTCCTGTGTAGGTTATGCCACTTAATAAAGCTTACTCCAAGTAGTAGTGAAGTTAGCAATTGCTTACTTCTATTAAACAAGTTGGCAGAACATGTGCAAAGCGCTGAGAGGCACCATTAAGAGCCACTGTCTGATTGGCTCAGTCATATGGAAAATCCGAATTACCACATTCAGCTTAGGCCTACTGTTAAACACCTTGCTGTCAATATCCTGTACTGGAGATGGATTTAACTAAAGTGACAAACAAACCACAGGTAAAGTAGGTGCTAAATGGAGTGGGGAAGGGGCAGCATTCAGGCTTGCTTTAGTCTCCTACACAAGTAAGGTTGTTAGCATGAATTCACAAACTAAGGTTTTCATGGAAAATAAACCAGTAAAGGAAAAAGCAAAAGGAACCCCAGACTTCCTTGCCATGACTGTATTTGATTATCTAAAGCAGGGGTGTCAAACTCGCAATGTCATGTGACGTGTTGCGACATATCACAACTTTTTTCCATTGCCGGCAATGGGGTGGGTGCAGTTTTGCCATGATGCATCTGGCCCGCAGGCCGGCAGTTTGACACCCCTGATTTAAAGCGTTTATATAGTCACCCATCTTACAACAAACGGTTAAAAACAATGAAAAGCATGAACTGTGGAAAAATAAGCAGTTTTTAAGGAATGGCACCTAGTGGTGCCCAGAAAGCAGCTCTCCTCAGTTACAGCACCTGGAACAGCATCTCTCCAGAGCTTTGCTCTGTTCAACCCACCTGTCTACGAAAAAGCCCTAAAAATGTGGCTCTTTCCTCAGCCTTGCATTGGGGTGGCAGCAGGTTGGGTGCCATAGAGAAGATTGGGGGTTTTTTTATTTGTTCGTTTCAGGTAATTGTGAGTTTATACACACACACACACATATACACAAACATACACATACACACATGTATGCATACATACATACATAACATATATATATAAAATATGTTGTTTTTTTCTGTTTGAAATTTTGTGAAATCCCCCTGAAGTCATTTTTGGAATGGGCAGCCTAGAAATTGGATAAATGAAAAAAGCTTAAATGACAAGAGTACAACTTTCAGTAGCCCTAGCACCCCTTGTTGCTTTAAGGGAAACTGGATGTGCTTTTACTCATTTTGTGGCACAAAAACAGCATTCACTTATTCCCCAGTAGTTGGGTGTAGATAACCTTACAGCTGGAGAATAATGTTGTGATTTGTTTCTGAGGATATTTTGCTTTGGCAATTGCTGTGCTATGATGTAATAAACAAAGAGACTTGATGGCCCTAGGCGTTGAGGATGCGTCTAGTGCAGTCATTGAACTGTGTTTGTGGCCCCTTTGTCCCCTGGGCTGTGCAAACACTATGTGATAAGAGACCCTTTTGTGGCGAAACTCTGAAAGTATTGTAGGCACTTTGACCTTGACTGCCTGGAGGCCTTTGAAGGAAGATGTGGGGCCTGGGAACTGTCCCCTCTGAAAGCATATATTTACTAAGCTTTCTTTCTTGGTTTCTCCGTGGCCAATGAATACAACCCTTTCCTGAAAACTGAGCTCATGGCATGCCTGTTAGCAATGTAGAAGCAGATGCTAAATGTTTTCGTGTTTCATCTATTCACAGCTGCGTGGATGCCACCACCTTCCTCTATTTCAGCTTTTTTGCTCCACTCATCTACGTGGCATTTCTGAAAAGCTTCTTTGGGTAAGCTTTTTCATTTATTTTATTATAGTCCCTTGATCTTGCTTTTTGGTTATGCATCCCAGGGAAGTTTAGACTACAGCAGACAAATAA